TTGGAGGCAGTTGTTCAACTCTCTCCCGTTGTTGCGTGGATCTAATTGCTGCCTGTTGAAACGTTTGTTGCTTCCTTGCATCTGCAGCCGATTTTCCTTGGTCGATTCGTCGACGTTTGCTGCGAAGAATCCTATCCGATGGTTCCCTCTTTCGTTTTGAATCAGTGTTATGGTTGCGGCTATTTCCCCTGGCTCTCTTTGCATTACTAGAACTTTTCCCTTCTTCATGTTGGGGGCGGTCATGCCCTCTCTTTTCTGGTCGGTGGAACGGCTTCTTTTTCTTGTTACCTTCAGTTTTCCAACGGGGAAACTTTCTTTTCATATGCACCTGTCTACTCATGGCTTGCCCTTGTGATTGTCGTTATGCCACCTCTGGAGATTGTGCCTGCCGTGCCGGATCCTGCAAAAGATCTTTAAATATTTACATTTTATTACGATTATAGAATGGTTTGAGTTGGTCAGTATTTGCCGTGCACATTTCACCATTCTTGGCTTTTAACACCACTACAGCCTGAGTTACTTTCTCTATTACATAAGGTCCTTCAAATCGTGGATAGAACTTTGCAATTTTATCTTCTGGTGCTGAAGAAAGTGAATGCTTAGTTTTTAACACTTCATCCCCTACCTTATAAACTACTCCCCGTCGTTTCATGTCATAATACAACTTCTGTTTTCTCTGTGCTACTTCATTGTTCTTCTTTGCTTCTTTAATTAATTTTTATATATCGCCCATTTGAAATTCGGGGGTTCTTTGTTGAACATAAAATAATCTATCTCACGGCGTTATAATCTTTCTGCCTAAAAATAACTCAGCAGGAGTTTTCCCCGTCGTGTCAGGGCGAAAGCTAATTCATTGACATAGTTATCCCAGCTTTTATGAAAATTTTTAACATAACTACGGATAATTTTCACTATATTTCTATTGACCCGTTCCGCTATATTTGATTGCGGCCGATACGGGACCATTTTTAATGACAATGCCCAGTTTTTGGCACATGTCTTCAAATATTACTTACAAATTGAGGACCATTATCCGATATAACTTTTAGGGGCGCCCCGTATTTTAAATATATTTATTTAAAATAGAATCAGTAACTAATTTCGCGGAGGCTCGTTTTAAGGGAACAATTTCGGTCCACTTACTAAAATGGTCAACCTAAAAAAGGAGATAGCGGACTTTTATTTAACTGACTTTTCGGGAAAGGGCCCAATAAATCGATGCCAATTATTTCATTTGGAAACTCTGATCTAAGCTATTAGAAACCCGGCCGGGAGGAAATTAATATAATTAACTGCTTGACATGTTGGGCAAGGACTGGATATACGCCCTGTTAACTTTTGCAGTTCAGGAAAAACACTGCTTCGCGTACGCGTTGGATAGTTTTTCGAATACCAGCATGAGAAGCTAAAGGGCTGTCGTGGTAACTCTGGAGATATTTAATCTAAGACTAGCTGGGATAAACAGGTCGAAATTCGTTGTTGGAATTTGTAGTTTTTGTATAAATAGACCATCTATTAGTTGTAATGGGCCGCCCTATTTCTTATCGCCACAAGATCTTGGTGGCTAAAATTTTCAGGATCTTTTAAATAATCATATATATGTTTTTAAACTTCCGGATCCTTATCCAGTTCGGTTATTACAGTTTCTCCGGGAATGAATCTTATATGCTGTGAGCACTGCCACCTTTACAGTATTACCTTCTTCATCTGTTTTTATTCTAGATAAGGCATCTGCTACGATATTTTCCTTTCCGGGGTTGTGCTTGATTACCAAATTGTACTCCTGTAACTTGAGTGCCCTTCTTATTAACCTTGAGGATAAGTTTCCCCCTGAGTATAATCTAGTTACCGCCGCTTGATTAGAATACACTGTTACTGGCGCACTTCCAAAATAGACTCGGAACTTCTGCACTGCTAACAGAACTGCAAGTGCCTCTCTCTCGGTCGCGGAATAATTTCTTGTTTTTGATTTAAAGTCGACTAAAAATGCCACGGGCTGCTGATTTTGCGAAAGTACCGCTCTACCGCATAATCCGAAGCATCCATCCGCTGAAATTTCTAAATTCTCATCCTTTTCAGGAAATTTCAAACACAGGGGCTTGCGTTAACGCTTGTTTTAATTTTGCAAACGCACTATTGGCTTCGGCCGTCCACGAGAATCTTGCCTTTTCCTTTTTAATTTTAACAATGGTTCAGCAATAGTTGCAGTTTTTTTATAAAGGATCAGGACATTTAGCCGAAAAGGATGCTTAGTCGACACGACATTTTGCCAACACCCGGACAGTTAGCCGGCAATAAGTCTCGCTCTTCCCAATGCTTTCAGATTTCTAATGCTTTCACATTTCATTACTAATTTGCTGAACATACCAAGCTACATTCATTCCCGTATAAAGTCGTTTCGCTTCTCCCAGTAATGAAATTTTCTTTTCCTCTCAGGAAGTAAAGTGATTCGCCCTACTCCTCGGCATACTGTAACTACTTTTTTTCTGAAATGCTATTTACACATTAGGCACCGTATATTTATTAATCTGGGATAGGGCTCCGGCGCAGGAATTCGTGCCTTGTGGCCTGCGACCATTTAACAGAAATAGGTTTGGTTTCGTTTGGTATATGTAATTACGACAAAGCCAGAGAGCTATCTGCCTAAGGGGAGGGATACCTTCGTGGAGGACTTTATAAGGAAAACTGACTCATATACACGTTACACAGGTGTAAAAGCACGGAAACACTCACGCAGCCAGTCCGTTTGCGGGATTCGAAATTTGGACTGAACTACCAATGCTGAGCGACTTTACCGCTCGGGCGTTACTTGGCCTAACAGAAATAGTACGACCGTTACATAATATATAAATAATCTCTTCCAATCAAAATTGCTATTTTTAAGATAGATCTTTATAAATGCGTTGCTAGAAAATAAGAAGAGAATGAGAGAAATGAATGAATGAAAATGAGAAATTTGATAGCATTAGGAAGAACGAGATTGGAAAATTAATATCATGAAGTAAACAAAAAAAAAAAATTATAAATGATGTGAAAGTGTTCAAAAGAACCCAATTGATTAAATGAAAAAGTTTTACGGGCAATTTTTGCAGATCCCATAATAAAATGTAACTAAGTGACCGTCGTAATTAGCTAAAAACATTCCTTTTTCCTTTCGAAAATTAATTCATATTCTCTGATGAGAAATTTCAACGCTTTTTCAATTTGGCCAATATACATCAAACAGCACGATATATATTAAACTATGCTAAATTACACAAGAATTAAAAACACACATGGGATCTTTAAGAATCGAAAAATGACTTTTACTGATAGGTTGAAAAAAAGTACTTGAATATTGAACTTATGAAGAAGTCGAGAAATTTGTAATTGAGAGGAAGTTTAAGCAATTATTGGGTACGTGTCAGAAAAACGTCACTATCCGCTTAATGTCCTGTTAACTAAATGTCTTGACAGTTAAATGTCCCGTAGCTAAATGTCCTGACGGCTAGCTTTCTGTGTCGGCTAAACGTCCTGTCGGCTACGTGTCCCTTTCGGCTAAATGTCCTATCGACTAACCGTCCGTGTCGGCTAAATGTCCTGTAGGTTAAGTGCCCTTGTCGGCTAAATGTCATGTCGGGTAACACTGTCCGTGGCGGCTAAATCTCTGTCGGCTATCTGGTGTTGGTTAAGTGTCTCGTCATCTAAGTGTCACGGACCCCCAATTTAAATCCTTCAATATATGTCACATGTCAAACTGTTATTAGTAGCCACTGATTGTTTCTAATTAGAAAACTGCAGTCAAGGGAATCAGTCGATCTTATCCGGTGATGATGAGTTCAAAGACAATCTTATTCACTCAGGATACCAAAGTAATTAATATAACAGTACACTAGGGAGAAGGAAGGCCCAAACCTGGGCTATATAAAGCCCTTACACGGTTGTAAATGCTCCAACCTCCAGAGGCTATCCAAGCAGGCATATCATCCCGATCAACCTCGAACAAAATTGCCCAAGTGGCAACCGACAAGCATTTGCTGACAAAGAGGACGAAGTCAGGTCAAAGACTATGCCCCAGTGTTGACCAAGGGGAGACAAATCCCAGGACAACCGTTGAAAACTCACAATATAACGCTCCCACTAGGGGCAGACAAGACTTTACCAATACGGTCCCTGCCGAGCCTGAACTACACCTCCGTGGTATACTGAACCTACCACCGAATAAATAATGTTTCTAGTCACTGTGAAGATTGATTATGTATCCCAAAAGCCGAGTTGTTCTAGGTGCAGATCCTAGCCAGAACGCGATGAGTTGTCCTTAAGTCGACTCCCGGGGGATGTTAATATAACAGTCCTAAGTTGTATGTGTGTGTGTGTGTGTGTGATTATGGCAAAGCCTCGAGGGCTATCTGCCTAAGAGAAGGGATGCCTTCGTGGAGGACTTTCTAAGGGAAACTGGCTCGTATACACGTTACACATGAGGAAAACCACGAAAACGCCCATGCAGCCAGCCCCAGTCCTAAGTTGACAGAGCTGTTTGTGTGATCATAGTCCAAGCTCTTTACCAAAGGCAATGATTCTAATATAAAAACTCTCCTTCGCGTCTTTTTATTTAAACCTCGATGAGTAAAGAATCATTGGTCTTGCTGATTTCTGAAGAAAAATTCATAAAAAATATGAAAAAAAATAAAACTTAATACTCTGTATTTATGATAATAATAACAGTCGCATTTCTCTTGAAATGTTTAAAGACTTTATTTCGCATATCTGTTTTTAGCTCTTTTTGCTTTTCTTCCGACTTTGTTATGTGGTATTAGAGGTTTTCTTATTTTGTTTCTTAATAGTGCAATAACAAGACAAATGCTGACTATTATTCCTTATTAATAAGGGATAAAGAGAGTCGTGTCAGACTGTTTCGAGAGCGATATGAGATTATTCTAAAATTAGCACTTCATTTAAGACTTAATTTTAGAATTAAAGAAGGGTTGTATTATAAGTCTATATTTTCACATTTCTTTTAGATTTTGACAAAAACTATGATCCTGTTCCTCAAAGCATTTATTTCTACAACACGACAAAAGTAGGCTCTGATGATGATGTCATTTATACAGCTGCGACTATGAATCTTGGAATAATGACGAATGTTGGTAAGTATTCGAAAAATATTGTCAAGTAAGTACTAGGTTAATCTTCTCAAAACTTTTTAAAACGCCTTGCATTTTATTTATAGGGAACTACCGGGAAGCCCGTGATGAAGGAAATGTAATAAATGTAACTTTTGCCATCTACGCTCTCAATAATGAGTCACATTTGGGTATGGAAATAGAATTCAAAACTTCAGTGATTGTGGGAAAAGAAACTCTTTATTCTGAGCCGTTCAAAGTGAAGCTAGTGCCAAGAAAAGACGCAGATAAGGTTGTTTTCTCAAAAAAAAAAAAATGCTTATAACGAGAAATGCTTTAACTGTATTGCTTATTACTACAGATTTTTTAAAACCTTTCAGATAAACTCTTTCTATGAATTAGAATATCACAAAATGTTCCATAAATAAATCTTCTTCATGCTTCAAGATTTTAAACACGTAATCTAAAACAATTGTATGAAAGAAAGTAAACACTAGAAGTGATTGAAATTGCATGAACAAAAAATTAGATAATTATTTTCTGTTTTATTTTCGTTTTCAGTATAAAGTATGTTGTAGTAACACGTTTTGATTTACATAAAAAGTGCATTTCCTCCGACACATTCCTATCTCAATATTATTTCAATATTTCAGTTTTCTTCTAAGAATAGATGACTGAAAGTGTTGATGAATAATATGCACTGACAAGCGTTGTCTCTAATAACGGGCCCGTCTCTTTGTTCTATAATTTAAACTATTGCGTTTTAACATGTTTTACCTTAATATCTCTTATTCATCGCATATCACAATGCCTTTCTTCCCTAATATATTTTGATTAAAGTAACGCTTTATATTATAAAATATTTAAAAATAGAAATAATGCATTTTAGGTCAAAATAATAAGTATACATTGAAGGTTTATATTTGCATACCTTTATGCAAAAAATAAAATGTTTCCAGTTTTACTTTTGTTTATGTTCATTAAATGTAATAATAATTTAGCTGTGTATAAATGCACTGCCTGACAAAGAAAGTACCATACCGTGAAAGAGTGATTGAAAAATTAAAAAAAGACCAAACTTTGTTCTTAGATGATAAGTAAAGCATCTAACAAATGATTTAGTTTTCAGAGATACGAAATGCTAAGACACTTAGGTATCAATAACTCTTAATAACCCCATTTCGAGCAATATAATCTTAAACATATTGCTGCATCGAACCAATGATGACCAGATCATAACCCTGCGTTATCATGCACCACGAGTGGTTGACATGATTCCACAGTGTAAAATTTTTCTTTACGGAGAAATTTCATTTCGATTGCGTATCCTTGATTTAAACAATTGCGAGGATTCACGTTATTGAATTATGACTTTACGAACTACAGTGAATACACCACAAACGAAAAAATAGATGCTTTAAGTACTTTTGTGTTATCGCAACCGCCTTGGTAGAAGTTTCCAATTTTCATAATATTTCAAACTCTGCTAAACACACGCATAACCATTCTTCAGGCAGCAATGCTGAATCTTAATCCTAGGCCAGTTTAGACCTGCCCGAGCGACCCGCAGCGAGCTCCTCGCTACGACTACTTTGACAATATAAACGCTCACTTCGTCCGAATAGAAACGTAGGGAAAATGAGTCATCGATTCCGTTTCTACTTTAAATCAAGTGAAAATCCATGTGGGCAGTAACTCCGAGCAGTGTTCGCAGAGACGTCGTGCCCAATACCAAGATTGAGCGATAATCTAATTTTTAGTGGATATGCATCTTGTGAAGTATTATGGGATACTTCACTACCTGAGTATTACGACCATTGTTTACTAATATCTAAATATAACATGGCTATAACTACTCATCAGAATGAATTTAGGTTTTTGATATTGTAGGAAAAAACATAGAAGAAAATGAAATTGGAATATCGGATTCAAAATACTTATTTTAAACATATTTATTTCTGAATTTTCTTTAATAAAAAAAATTAAATTATATGTTATTCAACTACCCAATAAAATACAGTTTTCAATTTAAAAAATAAATGAAAGGGCAAACATTTGATTTTGTTCATATAAATTTTGAAAAGCCAGTTTTTACTTATGGCCAATTACACTTAATAAAATATAATCTAAAATTTTGAAATTTTTTTATAGACTTTCCTTTTTATTTGAACAACAGATTAGATTTTATTTACAAACGATCAGTTGGAATATTAAAATAAAAATCGCCGACAGAAGGCGTATCAGACTATTATTAACATGCCAAAATTTCAGGGTGTTGGAAAGTTCAAGCAAAAGATTATTAATTTTCGCTCAACCTCATACACAGAGAATGGCCTCAAGCACTCATCGAATAAATATTCTGATTGTGCATTTTGGCATCGAAATAAATATTGCAACAAACTATAGAGTTACTCGTTCCCAGAAACCGAAGCGCTATCTGCGTTTTAATTTTGCTGGCAGAGCATCTCAAAAGAATATATTTGTTTTTTCCTGAATAAGTGGCGTCACTATTTGCATTAAAGTTTCTAATTATCCTTCACCCATTCTGATGAAGTTTGTGTAACTTTGGATATCCTCGCCCCGAAGTTCATTTAAAAGTTGATTTTAATGCTCCCAGCTCATCACGGCGAGCTACCCAGTCACGTTTTGATTTCCTTTTGCTTCTTCTTTTTTCTTCCTCCCCAAAACAGTAATTAATTCGTTGGAAACTGCTTCGCAAACTTCAAGCAGACCAGCTTTCACGTCGGTATTCATTTTGGAAACAAACGGAGGTGAGGTGTCAGTCCGGCTATGATCGGTGTAAACAATCTATTCGATTACAGGTCTGTTCACTCAGTTCGAGACGCTCGGACGAGGGACTCGCCGAAAGTCACTCGGAGAAGTGTAAACCGGTCTTTAGTCAATGAAAATGGCGAAGTTAACGTCGTCATATTCGTATGCGTTATTTTGGTTGTATTCCACATTCCAACTGTTTTTATAAATAAATCATGATATTTTTTGCCTTAAATTTAGTTTTAAAATATGCGTACCAGAAAATCAAATTTGTTATGGAAATTATCAGCAGTAGAAGAGAGTGCAAAAAAATTATGCAGGAGTACTGCATTTTGTTTCAAAATCTCTAGACGGAACAGTGACAGACAAACAACATGTCTTTAGTAGACAAACAGTATTGCTGAGGTTTGTACAATGTCGAATCTCTGTAATTCTCTGATGTTCTTTAAGCGAAAACAAATCGCTGTGTATTCGTTGTGTATTTGGGGAGAAGAACAGCACAAAACATTGCAGAAAGATTTGGAGAAGAAACGTTTTATTTATTTATTTTATGTATCACACACACCTTATTTAATAATTAAAATTTATATTTTAAATTGCTAAAGTATGTTTTCTTTTGATATGTTGATAATATTTTCCGACTTAACTTTATAAACATCGATAATATGGGTATGTCTTTAAAAAAAATCTCGAAACCCACTAGCTTGCACCCAATAAATCAGTTTTACCCTTTCGTCTATAAAAAATCGCCAAATTGCGTTAATACTTATGTATTTTTCATTACATTCGTTTAATGCCAGTTTCTATCGTTTACACATCACTGCATTGAGACAACTTCGTCATACAAAATCACATATCATATTTTCAGACAATAAATTACGTTTTTCAGATTTTTTACTGGCAAGTATTTTGGCTTGTTTCGAAATATATCTGTTTTATTAATTTTAGACGGCAGTGTACTTAAATTATTCGTAAACCCGAGCAGAAATAATGACCTTCAATCAATAATGATGATTTGTCTTACTGTCTTGGTTGAAGTAAACTTAAATGCCGCCCCACCTGAATAGTGATTAGCGACGCTGACTGCTGTACCGAAGGGCCCGGGTTCGAATCCCGGAGAAGGCATGGATGTTTGTAAATGTATAGTGTCCCTGCAGCATGGGGGACACTCTAAACCTGCAGCAAGCCGAAAATCCTCTCGAGAGGTTGATGTAGGGGATGAAGGGTTGCAGACCCTCGGACCCCTACCCCCGGGGTGGTCTTTATCAAAATTGGAGGCGGAACTCAGCAAAGTCGTACTGTCATCTGCATGGTGCTCAAGGCTCTTACCAATGACAGGCGCAATCTTGCACTCCTTTCCACGATGTATTTCGTTTGCTTTCTCATGTCAGACAAGTGCGATAAGTCACAAAAACAACAGAAAACTAAAATCACTTTGAAGACTGTTTAGTTTTTTTGCTATTTACATGATCGTTTGATTACCTTTAAAACTACTTATCATCTGCCAACTATCTGTCTATAAACATGAATAAAGAAACTAAGGTAGTATATTTAATTTGAAGACAATGTAAACAGTTCTAATAGTGTTGTCTGTAACACACAGTGAGTCAGAAAATATGGCTTGAAGTAAATGTGGCGTACTGTTGTATGCTGTGAGAGGAGCGGTTAATGGTATATTAAATTCGAAATTTTTTCTTTTCGAATAATAGCTACTCTTCGAAGTTTATATCATTAGCTAAGATAGCACTGAACGTGTAGCAGCAAGGTAGTAGTTGCAATATGAGCGACTACAGATTAAAAATAATTGCGAAGCCTGAGACTGAATTGATAATTGTAGCATTGTTGGCCGTCGACTGAGGAAAAGTAGAAAAAATAACCGCTTAGAATGGGAAGCACCTAAGAAAGGAAACTTTCTAAAAGGGCTGACTAGTAAAGTAATGACATCGGTCAGGACTGCCGAAGACTTCGAAATAGAGACAATAATATGAATCTATTTAATACAATTGTGTATTGTTCCTCTGTCTGAAGATCTTATTTGTCAATGGCATTATCTCGCTTTCCCCAGCCATAACATTCCCATCAAATGATGTGATTAAACACGTGATGTTAATATTATGACCATATTTCTAACTAATTTTGTATTTTTCAGGCATATTAAACTCGAATGCATTAATTAACATAAGGAGTTTTCGGAAATCTAATCAAGAATACTTTTTACTCTTTCAGATGGTTACAGTAAGATCTTCTAAAGGAGAACTGACAACACAAAATGTGGGTATTGGAGATATGGCTATTTATACATTGTGGTCTAATCTGACTAACGACGGCTACGCGGATTATGTGCTAGCAGTAAGCACAGCACGTTTTAAAGGCATAGCTAGACTGGAAGCTTGTTCCGCCAGACTTTGGAATTACAAAGGCAGTTTCGATATTCCGTACCTGAATACTACATTCATCGATCCTGATATAGAAGATGATGTGTTTGTGTTTCGATTCAACAGAATACACGTGACAGGACAGGTATTAAAAGCACTTTATTTTCAAATATGTCGCGTATTTTTTTTTTTTTTTTTCTTCATTTGTTCCATAAAATCCTCCTTTCCAATGAAATTTTATTCCATTTTGACGGCAAGATAATGCGTGTCTTAAACATATTTACTTCTTGAAAACCAATTAACATAAGAGAAAATTTATATAAGAACCAATTAACATAAAAAAATAATAGGTCTATTACATTTCTAGACTAAAGTGTGTCTCTAAATCGAAAGCAAGTCATCCTGGCTGTGCCTGGTAAAATTGCCCATCAAATACTAGAGCAATTTTTTCTTGCCATGTAAATGTAAGAAATGCTAATAAAAAAACATGAGAAATTTTTGATATTCCTAAAAGTTTAGGTTTTTCAAATAAAAAAAATGGGAAGGAAAACTACTATTTTATTTCATTTAGAAATGATACATTCTTTATTTTCGATAAAATTCAGCGTCGAAAATGAATGAAAATTCGTTTAATATTTGTAGAATTAAAAATTCTAATCATTAATATCTATTCAGAGTGTCTAAGCAAACAATTGCTGTTTTATGTCAAATTTTCTCAATAGCTCATTGTACCGAGTTTCTCTGTAGCACATATTCTGTACAGATAAAATAAACTAGGAATTTTTTACATTTAGCACCTATAACAGAATATTATTTTTAGTTTAACTAGCATTTTGTCATCTCTTTGGAGTTTAACTAATACTTAAACGTTTATTTTACACCGTTCCTTTATATCTTATTTCGGCACGTAATCGCTCAGTCCAAGTATTTCTGCAGATTCTTTTAGCAATCGGGGTAGTAAATTGACAGGAAGAATCATAACCACACGACTTATTATTAGAGACGTTTGATTGTTGCTCCGGGCACCGATCTTGCATTGCATCAGAAGCGGCTGTTCCATTAAGGATATTTCTGGACATTAGGCCTGGTTGTTATGTGAGCTTTAATTTAGAGTAGGTTTCCTGACCTAAATGTTTTTGTAGCCTTAAATGGGAACGCTGGTATTGTAGCTAGTTAAAATTTTCTACGGTTCCTATCATTTGCTGAAAGTGAAGGAGACTTTGTTTGTATTATTTTAAGAGTAATTAAATTGTTGTATTTTGAGTTCCCAGGCAATGAGGAAGTTGAGTTACTAGGTTACCATTCTCGTATATTTGTCGCTTTCACAGTCAATTAAGGCTTAAGGCGATAACTTGCATTATAGTAAGGCAACGTTTGAGGAGTGACTGTTTGATACAAATATTATTAGCTAGAAAGAAACCTATCATAAAAACTGTGAAAGATTATTAACAGTATTTATAACATCATAAATACTGTTAATAATCTTTCACAGTTTTTATGATAAAAACTTGTTTACTGTTGAGCAAGTTACAGCTTTCGTGTTCGCATAAATTAAATGATATTGTCTCTCTCGGAGTCGAAGAAACGACTTTAATAATATTTAAAATTATTTTTTCCTTAAGACTCGAATTGCTGACACAAAAGAGATTTCGTAATAATATTCTGACTGCAAAATCTTAGAATCAATTTTTCTCCTTCTGGTTTATGAAATAAAGTTTACAGAAATCCTACTTATTAATTTGTAAAATCTCGTTTAGTCTTTATATGTAATAAAAATTATCATTATATATCAAATAAAAAAATATAATTTCAATTTTATGCAAACCTTAAACTGCATTTACTTTTTATAATTATATTATTTAAATTTTTCTGAAAAGTTTAATATAAATTTAATCAGAAAAATTGTATTACTCTGAATTCAGTTTTGTAAGGTAAACTGCGTTGCAGCTCTGACTACAAATTAGGTATTAAAGTGCCGAAAGTAAGTAGTTGATCACCGTCAGATGGACTACATGAAAAATAATTTTTTAATTATAGAAATTATGAAAGAAGTTGATAACAGTTTTAGAAAACAAGCATCAAATTAGTATCTAAAGCATCCATATATTTTCAAATTCGTGTACCTTCATACAAATCATAAATCACAGTCAATTAAGTAGCAATGGCCTTCACACATTTGTCCTACTTTAGTATTTTAGTTTAGTTTAGTACCTAATTTTATTTTAGTATTTTATAACAATTCCGTTCATTTCCTATGATTCTAGGTTTGTTCAAAAATTGTCGATATGTTTTTTTAATTCCAAATTTTTATACAATTTGCTTTACTTAAATTATGCTACTATAATTAACAGCGAACACCAGCCATTTATAATGATTCCATGATTTACATTCATCTCGTAATGAAAGTAAGTGCTATCAGTGTCAACAAAGAAGGCATTAACATTACTCCAAAAGTCAAAATAGGAACACAAGGCAAACCAGAGCAGGATGTATCTGTACCTCAACTTACTATTTCAGCAAAGGTAAGAAATTTTTATTTCATAATATACAAATGCATACATTGAGTATAAATATAAAAATAAATGAATATAGGAATTAATTATAAACTATTAGTTCTGTTTTTCATTTTTATATTTGCTGCGTCACTTTCATGGAAATTCAAAAATAAGAATACAAGAATATAAATTACGAAAATTTGGTAGAAACCATTTTTTAATGTTTGAGGCATTTAAACAAGGTTGAGCTTCTAACACAGTAACTACACAACAGGTCTGAAATGTTATTATAATGCAATTATACTTCATTTAATTTGAATTTTAAAGATGATTTCCCTTCTGTAATTTAATAAGCAATGCAATCATATCTGTGTTTTTAATATACTGTTGCGTTTTTCTTCTGACATCAGTTGTTACGTTATTTTCTTCCTTCACGTTCGTACGGGGTTCGTGAGGATTTGGAGCGAATAATGACAATACTACTTGATGAAGTATCGAAACACACTTTATTGGCCATTATTGTGAGGACAGCACCAAAGCACATTTTTAAAATCGTCGATGAACTACTATAAACACGCTGACACGATCAGCGACACAAACTCCAGGTTATCAGGCTATCACGGTGGAAACAGCTTCATGGCAAAGCACTAAAGTACGGCACCCGACTCTGTTTTGTCATTCTCGGAACTCCACGTACTCTCGAGACTCTCCACGCTACAACTCGCGATGCACTTGACGACACGCAGAGCACAGCTCGGCACTTGCTGCCCGGCTGTCAACTCGATCGACTCCGCAGGTATTGACTCGCTAAACGAGACACCAACTCGATACTAACTATCTCGCACTCTATGCGAGGCACACCCACTTTCGCCCTCTCGACTAGGCACTCTCTCTGAGACACTCCCTGACTGCGGACCAGCAGGGTTTATATAGCTTTTGACTGGTATTTGAGAACATTCTAGGCTAAACCGGTAAGAATTCGTTCCAGAAGGTTCTCCAACCGTCCATGGTGTATCGTCAATTTTATCGCCAAATGGGCGATTTCTTGCCAAATGTGGCAACCCTGCCTTCTCTTGCCGTTTTATGGCAACCCTAAAACTGCTTTGCGGGGAAGCTATCTCACCGCGCCTGTACTTTCGTAACAATATATTAATTTAATCTTTTGTTTTCTATCTTTAATGTTATGTGAATGATGTTCAATATTATTATATATACGCTAATGTTAATACTTGCCTTAAATATTGTAGATAAGACTGAAAAGTAGCAGTAACAATTTAAAAACAGGGAAAACTATTGAACCTTCTTATTAAGAGAAACATAATTCTGAATCAATCTACGCGAAGAAACTTAGTTGTCATAAGTATTAGCAAATCACATTTATCGTAAAATCAACATTTTTAAGTTTTTATATATTGCTTTCTGAACTTATGAATGAGATTTTTGAGGTTACAGAATGTGCAGCATGCTGTACAATAATGAGCTGAATTTAATATGAAGCGCTATTGCTTGATTAAAGGCCATAGAAGAAGTAAACTCGGACAGTTATGTGAATGAACGTAACCTGTTCTTCAGTTTATAACTTTGAAACTAATTTGAAAGGTTTTGCACAGCATCTTCAAAGAATATAGTGGCAGGAAAGCTGGCTGTTGCTGCAATGAATAACCCCATGGAGAGAAGATGATAAATACAGCTGGACTTAGGGAACACAGGATGTTATCAAATTTTGCTAAAATTCCAAAGTAGGTAATTTTGTTCCATAAGGACAAGAATATGCAGATGTATTCATGGAAGTTTCTAGTGAGAACAATCCACCATTTAAAATAGAAAGAAACAAAGTCTGCAAAAATTTCTTTGAGCTTTCATTTGAATATCTCTAGACTTTCGTCGTTCCTGTCAGTGGATGATTAATCTCTTCAATTACTTACTTGAGGAACAATGTGATTACTCTAATCTAAATAAGATAGTCTTCACATCAGCATCAACTATGCGTGAGAAACTTCATGCTAGGAGACCAACTGAGTTGGTATCTTAGTTTACGATTCTTTAGCAGGATGATCGTTTAAAATTGACATAATTTCACGTTAGTCGTACGCCATGGACGTCTGATGAGTAGAAGCCTATGTTGTTAGTGGATGAGTCCTATTGATTTAGCAAAGTGATGTCTAGCATAGTCTTAAACGAGAAGAAAGAAGGCCTTATTACTATCCGTGTGACATCAATGAAAAGAAAAAGGTTGTGGATGCTCTACAAAGCCCACTAATGACGCAACAGTAGTAGATGGTGACTAAATGAGTTCTACACTACTTACTATGAAATTTACTATGAAATTTACAGCGCTGCAAAGCGTAATTTTCTGTTAAAACATTTAGCTTCTGCATTTCTGCAAGATTTTTTCTTGACGAAAACAGGTTTGATGAAAACGTTTGCTTAACTTCTATAATAGGTGGTATAGCAAAATGTTTCAGTGTATTTGAAACCATTTACTATTGAGTTATTACAATTTTCTTATTTGTTTTATCTTTTATGAAGACCAATGTATTTCAAAGGTTGCTTCTTTGCAATGGAGGCTTCTGATTTAGTGCAGTCTTGAAACATTAATACTTAAATTCAAAGTTAGAATTCAAATACAAAGTTTACTTTTTTTTTTCTTAACAATTACTACAAAACTCCGAATAATATCACTTCTACTGAAATCTGAATAGTAACATTTCGAAGATAATTCGAACTTACGAGAGATACTTTGAACTAGAAGCTTCCATGAATCAAAATGTTTTTCAATCTGACAATTTCATAATGGACAGTTACATTTTAGGTGGAATGAACGACAGTTGAAATTGATTTTTGTTATTCAACTGTTTTTTATTTACCTGCTCTAGAGAAAAGTATTACATCAGTTTTTAACTTCTACTTAGCATCTAATAATTTGATTAAAGGCATTGAGGCCACTATTAAATGTTTTGGGTCTTAATTGTAGTATTTAGTTCCAAAAGGCAATAATTGGATTTTCTAAACTCATTATTTAAACATTTGCAGAACGATTATGAAGCTCCTGCCATGGTTGTTGAGAATGGTGTAGCATGGTCAGATCTCTACGTAGGAGGCGCAGTGGTTCTTAATATTACAATGTTTGTTCCAAGAGGACAAGGATATGCGGATGTATTCATGGAAGCTTCTGGCGAGAACAATCCACCATTGCCAGCAGTACATATTTGCAGAACTGAATTGAGTGAAGTTGGACGAAATGTTCCTTGTCTTCGCATGCACCAAGATGAAGTGAACAGTAACTTTACGAAATACTCTAAAACGTAAGTAAATTTTGAATCTTTAATAGATTTTTAAAATTGAGTTATTATTATATTATCTAAATAAATTTTTCACGGAAACATTAAAAATACATTCCAGCTGAGTTAAATCAGCGAGGATTAAACTCTATTCTATTTGTTTTAGCTTTCTGAAATTTGATGATACATAATAGCTAATCTGAAAAATTTACGATTTGAAATGTTTTACTGTAAAAGTCACGAAGAATAAAATAAATGATCCCACAATGCAATTTGTTAAACAATTATATCAACCTTTTAAGACCTGAATGTTTTTATATGAATTCAGCAGAATAATAGAATTTAGAATATTTTGAACTCCTTTCAAGTTTTCTTTGGGGAAAAATAATAATACTCATTGAATTTAGCTCATATTTCCTATATTTGAATTAATTTTGACGCATTTTTACAGTGAATTCATTATAGCGCAATGACATTCTAGTTTTTATGCGTAAATATAAATTTACTTAATCGAATAATTTATTTGAACTAGGTATACCGATTTTCAGAAACATGTAGTTTTATATACACAAATTAAAAAAGTCTGCACATTCCAAAAAGTTTAAGAAAAGAAACGATAATGTTCAAAGTATTTGCCTGAAAAAAAATTTTTAGTAGCTTACCAACTTTCCTTAATCAAATATCATAATGCGAATAGTTTAACAGATTTGTTCACATACATATCGTTTTCTTACTTACATTAAAATAAAAATATAGAAGTATAATGAAGAAGATTCCAAAAAAAATGTATTTTCAACGCAGCGATTATATGTATGAGAAATCTAACATTTCGAAATTTTATGAAGCTACTTTTAATTTTTAGTTTGAATTAAAATTTTCACAACTTTTGAAGAGAAATGACAGATGCTGCCACTTGCTTCATCAGCTAGCCGACCTGATGGCATGTTGCTAGAGAAGCCGACTGCCTTAGGCTTGGCCATGTGCTTGAAACTCGGAGAAAGTGTGAATGTTGGTAAGTGTATAACGTCTTGTCGGAGCGCTTAAATTACTGTCGAAATGGAACTCTTCTCCATGGGTTGGAGGAAGGAAAAGAGGGTTGGTAGACCCTCGGATCCGTTTCCTGGAAGATTCTTCGTCAAAATTGAGAAAAGTTGAGGAAATTCTTATTAGGTGCCCGTAGCCTAAGCCACTGAATAGCAGGCGCAATTCTTACCCCTTGGTCAAAATAAAATTCTTGTACTTATTTTATGTTACCATCAGATAAGTGAGAGAAGTCACAACAACAATATAACAACTTTAGCAGTTTCGACTTGAGTAAGTATTTACCGTAATTTAATAATTATTAATATTTCAATATTTGCCTCAACAGGGATCCCAAAAATCGGTTAAAACCGGATATGACAAGCATAATGCTAGGTGATGTTGGTGCACTTCCAGTAGAGGGAAAGAACTTCGCAACCGTATCTGTAGTAGTTGAACTACCAGAGGGAGTAACTATCAAGGAAGGTGAACAATATCCTATCAGTTCTGGGTTGCTAATATCCACAAATACTATATGGAGTGCGATGGCTAATTATACCATGAAGAAAACTGCACCACCAGATCTAGAAGAAGTAAGTTTAAACTATTTAAAAAGGGGAAAACGTAATCCTAAACTCACTGATTTTGTTCAAATTGTGCTTCGTTGTCAAAACCTTTGGTGTGAAATGAAGATTCGTTTCTGCTACACTATTACGTAAACCATCAGTCATCAGAGACTATGGCAAACGGAGAGACTCTTAAATAACACATATGTAACGTAAATAACTTTAGCCTTGATTTTATAGCTTGACATACGTACATAAGCTCGGAGGAAAAATTTCACTATACATCTTCTATCATTATGTGCAGTTTGAGCGAAATCAGTGAATCCAAGATCATGGGGTCCCCTAAAAAGTAAACATAATTATTCACTTTCACTAGTAAAAGATACTTGAAATAAAGATTATGCAAAATATATAGATGAAGTAACTTCAGTTTTGCGATGTTTCCTGAGTGTCAATTATTATTATTATTTTGCTTATGGACTAGCTATCTCCTTTTTTCCACAGTCATGTTTACAATAAAAACTTTTTACATTAACCACCATTATACTTAACACAATTGACAGTGCTAACGAAACTGTTAAATACGTTAGGGTGTATGTTAAACTTCTGTCCGTTTTTCGATGAATTAGAAACGTGAATAAAAGGAAATGTACATACTTATCTTTTCACTAAACTACTATCATTTAGTATAATCTTTTGCCGCGTGTTTTGTAGTACATTAATTTCTCTTCGATAAAAACCCCATGATTAATCCTGAGGTAAAAAATTTCACACCTTTCCCACATTGCACCTTGCAATGCTGCTTTCACACCTTACACATCATCTGGAAGGGGCAAAGTATCCTGTAACGATCTAAGAAGATAGTAATATGAAGGAGCAAATTCCAAGGATGTGATAAAACTTCTCGACATTTCTCCGATAGCCTTGTATCGGATGCATTTTTTGCCTCATTTTGTCCAACTGCTGGCAGTACTTTTCAGAATTAACCTTTAAGCATTAATGATTTAGTTACGTGGGAACAAATTCCGGTGGATTATTCTCTTTATCTCGCACTACACTTAGAGAAAATATTTTGAGATGCATCCCCTCTTTGGATGAAGTAGGTTCTACTCCTCCCTTCGATGCTTGATGTTAAAGTACAGTAACAATTTCATATCACCCCTTATAATTCATTCCAAAAATGGTACTTTTCAGGTACTAATTCTTACATGTCATTGTTTTTCAAAGAGCTCACGCAGCCTGATAATCTAGCTTAATTATGAATCCACGTGCGTTCATTCTTCTTTCAGCTTTTGTTCTGTGTGTGCATAGCGCTATCGTTACTTCCTCAATAACAGCATACGAGGCATTTGATATGGCTTTGTCCAGAATTTACTCAAAATCTACTCACGGACTTCCGAAACATGTGCGATCGTCTAATGCACCCTCCCGGACATTTTAGGAATGTTTCCGCATACGAGGGATGCAGTACTTATTGCCTGTATCAAAACTTGTACGATAAGCAATGCCTCATATGTTCCTTATTCTTTGATATTTTAAACTGCTTGAAATATTTTAAAGAATAATTTACTTTTGTATGTATGTTGCCTTTATATTCTGCCTGACTACAAGTCTTACTGGCTTGAAAATTCCAGCATCACAGCGGCATCATTCGTAACTTGAATCTCCAGAAACAAATAGAACTTTTGCTTTCATCTAATGATACTTTTCTTAGTGAAAGAGACTTAAACAGAAAAATTTCTTAGATTGTTATGAATAAAAGTCATATTTGCAAGAACAGAACAACAGAATAAGTTACATATAGTTCATCGACCCAGAACCTCGAAATACTCTTGAACATTATTCCCTTTCAGGAAATCCTAACTGTTATCGTCTTTGCACAAGATAAAATAATGACAATGAAAGGCATAGCAGTATTGACAGCGCTTTATATAAAAGCTATAATAAAACTGATTTCAGTTATTTGACGAAAACATTCCTATTAATTATTTTTTGGCAGAAATCTCGGAAGGTAACATAAAATGCAATAGTTCAAGCGAGCAATATGACTTCATATATAAAAGTATTTAGACAAAAACTTCCTATTTAAACTAATTAAAACTTTTCTTTACATTGTTGTTATTCAACATATGGGAAAATTTCATACATATGCAACGATTAATTTCAAAATAAACATGAATTTAAGTTAAATTAAAAATATCACTTTCTAGTGACAAGATCAATTTTTTTTATTATTTAGCATGTTTTAGGAAAAAAGATAATAAATACATGCTTCATTTTACACAGAGTAATAGTTACTTATGCTAAAATGTGTAGGGTTTTGCTGTAAATGGAAGGCGTGAGAACCTACGAGACTATTAGCGAGTTATCGCTGCATCTGAAACAATCACAAAGTCAGAAGAAGGTTAAAATAAATTTTTTTTATTTAATCTTAAAGTAAACAAAAAGGCACAGTTTGTGTTACAAACGAACATCCGCTACATTCTGAGTGTTTAAATTAACAGAAAGTTAAATTTCAAATGCAGGGAGCGTAAAGATTGCTCATAAAAGAGATTACTTAAACAAGATCAGATATTTAGCGGCGAGTATTTTAAAAAGTCGGTTAGCAAGACGATAAAGCCAGAATACAAATTAGGCAAAGCTCCCACTTGGCGATATTAGTAAGTAACAGTAAGACGCAAATGTCAGAACCTCTAATCTAAATATTCAAAATCCTCAGCTTAAATCCACGAACAACTAATTTCCGTTCTGGTGAGGACTATGAAGAGAAGAAATTAAAGTAAAGATTTAAATCATAATAATTGGTTTATTTACATAAAATACCTCATAAATGCTATTATACTCTCTTCCAATTAAATGCCAGTTTCATGAGAAAATAATTTGAAACGTATACAGTAGTACCTCCTGTAAAGGAAACCTCCGAATCAGAGACGCATTTATTTCAGGGATAATTCTATTGGTCCCGGTCCATTTGAATAGGGACCTTAATGTATTTACCTCTTATTAAGGGGAACTCTATTTAAGGGACACTGGAAAATACTTTCAAAAATAAAATGTATGTAGAGAAATAAATAAAAATAGAAATAATATTTGTTAATAATCTTTGGAGGTTTCATAGACAAGTTTGGGCTCAACTTGCCTATGAAAGTTCTCTATTTTGACGAAGGAATTATAAAATGTAAATATAATCCCTGTTTTTGAAAACTGCCCTTTTTAGTACGCAAAAGAGCAACAATACATTGGGAAAAGCAAATTGTCGCGCAGATCAAAAGAATATTTATTTCCTATTCATATAATGCAAAATTCATTTATTTTTACTGCATTTCTCGGTAGGGAAAAGCAAGTTGTAAAGCAATCCAAGGCAAGGACCAATGGGAAAGAAAAGGTAGTGATACGACTAGATGACTTGCTAAGGTTAAAATATCTCACAAAGTGGAAAGAATGAAAACTTCTAAGTACTTGCTAGAAATGGGGAACAAAAGAAGTAGTTTTGTGCTTGTGAGTTATTTTCTCATGCGTTATTTAACTTGACTTCAAAGAGGAAGAAATTTAATTTAATTCATGTAGCAGAAATTGAAAAGCGTAGTTTGACAGATTTGGGGCAGAAGTTTGGAATAAATAAAAACCAAGCAAGTCATGTGTTTAAGGATAGAAAAGAAATCAAACTATTATGTATTACTAATTGAAATGAGCATTCCTAGTACAATGCATGAATACATTTATACATTACATGTATATCTATAATTAAAATTTGCAACTCATTCCTATCCCTTTATACATGTATAAGGGAAATAACAATGAATTCTTTCAGAGATGTCCTAATAGTTTTAATCTTGAATTATTTCTTTGCAGCCTGACAGGCCCACAGCTGAAGCCCATTACAATGAAGATGAAAAGATCGTACCTGGACACTTAGCGGAGGTAGAAATATGGGTTAATACTAAAATTCAGACAATATCGGCCTACACAATTGAAGTGGAGGCTACTACCCGAGACATCAGTCTCTGCGGATTGAAAGTTAAATCCTTTGGTAGGAACTTACCTTGCGTGGATCTCAGTACGGAACCGTATTATCATCCTCATGATAATCCGCTGGATGGTAACAAAATTGCTGGACTCACATTTTCAGCACTTTCCAATGTCGGTAAGTTTAAATGTTTCCTTTCATCATTTGTATGATTCACTTATCTTATATTTGAAACATCAGAAGAAAGTGTGAAATAGCTTTGAAGAGATTTACTTGGACATATATGCGTTGTTTTAACAGTCGGATAATATAGGCAATAATAACATTAATAGTGCTATGAAATAAGACAAAGTAAAATAGAAAAACTGTAAATTTACAGTTGTAAATATTTGATAATATAACAGTTATATTATAACGGGTATAATATAGCTGTTACAATATAATGTACAATACAATGCTGTTATAATAACTGTAACAATTTATAATTACAGTATTATAATGGTTTGGTTTGGCTTATTTAATTATGGTTTGGTTTTTTGGTTTATTTAATTACGGCAAAGCACACTAGGGCTATCTGCCTAAGGAAAGGGATGCCTTAGTGGAGAATTTTCTGAGGGAAACTGGCTCGTATACACGTTACACATGGGGAAAACCACGAAAACGCCCATGCAGCCAGCCCGTTCGCGGAATTCGAACCTCGGACCGAACTACCAGTGTTCAGCGACTTTACCGCTCGGCCACTGGTGGGTACAGTATTATAATGGATATATATAAATAAAATTATAACATATATTATAATGGATATATATATATATATAAAAGTATAACATAAAGTATAAGAAATATAACAAAATAATAAGAAATATGATAATATAAAGTAATAAGAAAATAATTAAAAAATTTCGGGTCCCTTTTCTTAGGCAACTTACTTTGTACTTTTCCTTTAAAAAAGTATCACAAGATTTTGATATACAAAGAAATTATATTAAACGGCAAAAAGCAAAAGTATTCTTTGCACAGCGAGAATACAAATTATTATTCCCTGTTTCATATTTTAAACACAATCAATTAGCCTTTTTTACTTATTTACCGTCAAAGAGAAAATATACGATTTAACAAATGGCAAACACATAATCCTGGCTTGAAAACCAAAGCAACAGCAATACGCAGTAATTTCAGAACAAAGAAAGAAGGCAATGTGATCGAACTGGAAAAATCAGTGTTAAATCTAAAATTGCGCAAAAAAAAAAAAAAAAAAAAAAAAAAAAAAAAAAGATATAGATTGGTTTTTTTTTTTTTTTTTTTTTTGTTGTACAAACCTTAGTTTGGTGTAGATTCTGAATAATTCAGACAGAGCCAGATCTTTTTCGATCTTTTTTCTCAAGAGGAAATATGTTTTGCAGAGGGTCTTGTGTCTGACTAATAAAGTTTTATTTAGAATCTGTGCAAACTAAGGTTGCTGTTTTTTGCCTAATTTTAAAATTTGATAGAAATTATTACTCTGTTAATATGTTAATGAAAGCGAAATCACTTCTGTTTATATGAGACTTAAACTACGAAGGTTTGAAGAGAATAAAAATAAAACAATTTCTTCATTTACAAATACATTTAATTACATAATAAACATCACTCGCTAATTAATTAATTTAAAAATGAGATTTTAGATAATACAAAAAATTGCATTCAATTGTTCTCATTTCTGAAGCTTTACTGATTTCATAAAGAATCCGCAAGAAATTTCATAGATAGAAATCTATTTAAACAGTTGCCGTAATGAGCTAACTAAAGTGAATATGAACTACAAATATATGATAAATGTATATTACTGAGCAGTTTTAATAATTAATTAAATAAGTTATGCAACCTAAATTATTGAATAGTTTGCAATACTTGCGAAACTGACATAATATTAACTTTTCCCAATTAAATAAATACTAAGGTGATTTATTATGACATGATACATAAGCGCTAAGAATGCAACTAAAAAAGACTTTTATGAGAAATATTAGAATCTTATTTACTTTACACGCATGAAAATATGTAGAGTTATAAAAATGACGAAAACTCAACAGAAAACTCATGCTTTAGAAATATGTGGCTGTTGAAAAAGCTAAGAAGAATTTTAAATGTTAAAGCTGTATAACAGTTATCAGTCTTACAAAACAGAAGAACTAAAATAAAACATGTGTAGAGACATTAGGTTATTTTGAGGCCGAAGAGATGAAAAATTAGCTACTCCTTCGCCGAGAATCGAACCACGGACCTCTGGAATACCGTGCGGAACCACTACACCACGAAGGCACGCTAGGAAAGCGGGGGAGATCCCTTATACATAATTAATAACAAAAGGAATTTTCAATAAATTTACTGAGAATTCGTAAGGTTTAAACAGAACATTAATATTATTTTAGATATTCACAGGCATGCGTGACCAAAACACACATTAATTTATTCTTGGGCATTCTCTTTACATATTATCAATCGTATTTAATTTATTTTACTCATGTAATTTACACATTAAATTTACTCATGAACATTTAATCGTATTTAATTTATTTTACTCATGTGCTAGAATCTGCTTTTAAGTCGATTTTTTGTTATCTTTAAAGTTTTTTTAAACATTCAGTTAACTTACTCACAGAAACTTTCAATACAAAAATTTTATTCAGTTGCACGTTTTATTAAATGTGGTGCTTTTATTATTTTTAAGAATTTATAATTAATAATGTTATTTATTTTATTACCGATATAAATTTTCCAAAAGATAAAAACGTAATCTTAAATGCATTTCTTTTCAAGTTTTAAGCTTAATTGCATTCCTGACTTAAGCATAACGATAGTTTTTCTCTTTTATGGGGTCCACCAGTGGCCGAGCAGTAAAGTCGCTGAACACTGGTAGTTCGGTCCGAGGTTCGAATCCCGCGAACGGGCTGGCTGCATGGGCGTTTTCGTGGTTTTTCCCATGTGTAACGTGTATACGAGCCAGTTTCCCTCAGAAAGTCCTCCACGAAGGCATGCCTTCCCTTAGGCAGATAGCCGTAGTGTGCTTTGATATAATTAAATAAACCAAACCAATTCTCTTTTATGGTCAAGTGAAAAACAACTTCTAGTCCTATTTAAATTTTCCGTACATGACTAAAAACTTTCATAGAGGTAATGCATTCCATTTTTCCTAACATGAAGCAGTTGTTATTATCAGTAAAATAATGCAAAAGAATGTTAATACATTTTTTTTTGAATATTTATAATGAGAAATTTATTATTAGAGTATTTTTAATTATTAGATCTGCATTTAATATGTATACTTAACAAGGCTTTATTTTTCACTTCATAAATTTGTAGGGTATTTGCTTTCATATTTGTGTTTAAAATTTTTTAATTGTGTCAATCATTATTTCCATCTGTTCTTTTTCATTTATATTGTCATATTTTAATATCTGCAAACGTTTATTGGGTTTTAAGACAAGAGTTTTATCTTTTCCCTCTTTCAATATTCAGGATTTCGATCGAACATGGAGCATGATAGACTCGTTGTCATAGCTTTAGTTCGAATTGGACCATCATGCAAAAAGTCAGAAACGGAGTTAGAATGGCGTGTAGTCTATGGCGGAGGAAAAGAGGAAGGAAACGTTAAAATTCAAGTTGACCTGGAGGCGGATGCATCAGATATGTCGATTGTAAGTTAGTACGCCTCAATTAATTAATTAATATGAAAATACCGTCATAAAAGCGACTGAAGTAAATACATGGAAAAATATAAATGCTTTTTATATCGAAAGTTTAGAAAATTTAGCAACTCTATAACTTAGCTGATATTTTACTCATGTGCTAGAATCTGCTTTTACACAATTCCTGAAACTTAATGAATGTACTTCAGAAAATTAATATTTTTTCTATGAATTATTAAACATAACTACTTATTATTTGCTGATTATGCTTCATTACTTAACATACACATGTTTTTTATGTATTCACTATTTCTGCGTATCAAATAAAACACACACACACACACACATATATATATATATATATATATACTTGTATATTTATTTCCTCATCCGAATAGTTTTTAATTGTTGTTCGAATATATAAAGCTGGAAAATAACAATAACGTAATAATCTTGTGATATCTCAATTAATTTACAAGATTTCCTTTCAACATTTTTCAAATTGCGTATAAGATTAAAATATAATACAGTATTTCGGACAATAAATAATATCCTGTCCCCAATAAAAGACAAAAATTTCGTGTTGAGACATAAGCTTGCAGCAGATAGCAAAAACAAAATTGTCTAATTTCGTGAAATTAATTGGAAGAATAGAAAATTGTTTCGGTTCCTGCGTTTTAAATTTCACATAAACATTTAGCCATCTCCATTGCAAATGATAATTTCTAAGTGTATTTCTTCTAAAATCATCATTTCTAACGTATAAAATGCTAAATATATAATTATGCTTTCAACTAAAGCAAGAGTTAAATTACAACAGCAGACTCCTCGTCAGAAAACGAATCAAAACTTATAACATTTTCCCATTTCTTCCACGAATTTTTGAATGTTTAAAGAGTAATAAAAAGCGACTGAGGTGTAATATTTTTTTTTTTTTTTTTTTTTTTTTTTTTTTTTAAATTTCAGAGCGCTAAAAAACCAAAAGCACTAGCTTTCAAACCAGCCTATCCAAATACGGCTATTGCCTTGGGAAGTCCAGTTGTCGTCGATTTAGAAGTGTCGTTAGAACCGGGCTCTTTGGCTCCTGTCATTGTGCAAATGAAGAATGTGGATGCTGGGAAAAAATACCCGTATGACATGTGCCTTGGAGGAATATGGTTCAGAGGAAGAAATTACCCCTGTTTCTCCCCCGTTCAAGTGGAAAGTAACTTCTCGTCCAGGTATGTGTTCCTAGATACTCGTATATTGTGTATATGTAATGGGAATAGCTGCAATAATTGGCGATGATTCTTTGCTTTGTAGTAACTAGAAGAAGCTCGGGAGTTTCGCAGCGTAGGTTCGAATTCTTCCGGCTAATTAAATGTAATATAAATTCTACACATATCTTGAGATCAGAAAAAACAGCTACGTGGATACGCAGACATAACGGAGAAAAACACTTTCGGATGTGGCCGTTGATTTCAACACATAATTTTAATTTCATTATAGAGCAAGCCTGATACGCATAAAGAGATTAATAATGGAAATGACTTGTATATTCAAGTTAAATCTTACAAATTTAGTGAACAAAATTTTACATTACCCTACAATTATAATTTAAAAAAGAACATAGGTTTACAGTCTCCATAATCATATTTGTTCAGGGAAGGCTTTTCAAAATTTTTCACACAATATAACAAATATAAAAGTTTTATACGCCCATTACTTATTTTACATAATCACAATAAATTTTATAATATAAATAATTTTAATTATTATAACTTGCATTTTAACATCATTTGTAATGCTACTACTCAAATTATGATTTTTATTATTATTATTGCATTTCTAATTTTCTTACTTTACACGAAACTGGAAGATCCCACAGCTTTCTCCAAATTCAAACATATCCATCTGTTGGGCAAACTCACATTGATTAATTGATGTAATAATTCACCAATGATTAAAGAAATGTTCGGCACTTACTTACATAGGCATCCTTTCCTTGTAAAGGTAAATTACCGTTTTTGAACTAAAACCATTATAATAAGAATATTCCATTATATTCCGAGATATAAAACCTCACTCCATTATATATGTAAAAAAATAAAATAAAAATAATAGTTACTTTGTTTCATAAGGTGGGAGCTTTCAAAGTTTATTTTAACATATTCTATCTTTGCATAAAGTTATTCATTAATTTCAACATTAATTACCATATTCTATACTAATTTTTCGAAATTATTTCATTAATTTTTCAGAATTTTTATCAATTCAAAATTTTTTACATAAATGCAAAAATATAATTACTGTATTTATTTTAAAAACCTACCATAAAAAATTTAAAATATTTTAAATTCTTTACTCACTTTACCAAATCAAATTATTAAAATTCAAATTTCTAATAACCTTTAAATTAATTTTTTATATAACAGTGTTATATTTTAAAAATCCAATTTAGCAAGAAAAATATCAACTTGTGTTGTAAATTCAATTACGGAAAAGCAGAAGTGAAAATAATTTTCTAGCTTCAAGCACTATTTTCAATCGTGTGCTAGCAGGAGAAAGAAGTAACACGCAGTTCGGCAACCTTTTTTCAAAGCACTTTCTGAGCACATCAATAAATCACTGTCATTCTTGACGCCGAAAACCAATTCGATGATATTTAACTGATGAACATGCTGATGTCGTTGAAAATGCAAAGTAAATAATTTCTCACTGTACTTCACTGTTTGATGTTCACGTAACTCGAAAACACTGTTCCCTTATTTTTGGATCTGGCAATCGTAAAGGAACATTTCATTTCAATCATTACGCTTCTGAACTTGCATGCTTTTCCAATGGGGTTTGAGGTAGCAGGTAACTTGTCGACTATATTAATTGTAATATAAATTCTGTGCATACTTGATGATTCTTTACTGCACATAGAGAAATACTAATAAAGTTCGATAAATTCATAAGATGATATTCACAGGCATGCGTGACCAAAACACACATTAATTTATTCTTGGGCATTCTCTTTACATATTATCAATCGCACATCATTTTGGATGCGATAAATACCCCATAAATTTTGTAACCTATCACATTTTTTAGACAGTGGACGACATAGAGAACAAAGTAATCCAGCAGCACAGCGGGAGCAAGGCAGAAATCAGCAAAAGGGTTTTTATAGAATTGATTTCTTCTTTTAAATTTTGAAATGTGATTGGACAAGAACTAACCGCATTGCAAGATTAATAAAATGACATAATGCGGATTGTAGTTTTCAGATACGCATATTAAATTCGCAGTTTTAAGACAGAAAAGGAACTTAGCCAAATAAAAAGGAGTTAAAAGGACTGTTGCTTAAATTAATGTTAGTAATTTTCATTTTCGTTCATATATTATCTCTCTCTAACACATATATGTATATAAAATAAAGCTACATCTCTCGCTACGGAGTTGTTTGATATCTGTGTCATTTGTCGAACAAAACATTTATTTTAAAAGCTAGGAAATATTAAGTTCTAGAATACGTTTTAGTTATACTTCGCCTCCTGTTCTTTTGTTGAATCAATATTTGATTGGCTATTAAACTCTGCTTTTGCTTTACGGAATACGTAAGAGACATACTTAAATTTTCTAGAATATTCTGTATTATTTTGAAAATAAAAAGTCTGGAATACGATTTATACGTACTAAGCTCGAACGAGGAAGGTATTTCTACTAAACATCTGCTTGTCACGATTTAATCTGTTTCTACAAAACTATTTATTGCAATTCACCTTTCATGACTATTTATTGCAACTTTGTTAAAGAGTTTTTATTTTTTGTTTACTCAGATGATGCTCAGCAGCGTTAGTGGAAATTAACGCTGCAAACCTTCGGGCTTATATCCATACACTTAGCTCAAATATTTTGTGTAGAGTCTTTGCACACAGTAACTGACCGAATCGCACAGCGAAATTAATGTGATAAAGATATCGATAGTCAACGGCTCTTTAAAAATGGATACAAAATAAGCCTCTTATCTTCTTAAATCGCTTGGAAACTGTTCAAATTGAGATGCTATTACCAGTAAAGAAAGGTGAAATCTAGAAAGAAGTGCATGAAATGTTTTGTAAACTTATCAGGTTCAATGTTCCGCCTTACTTGCTTTGGGAACATTCAAAGACCTGACTCGGAACAGGGAGCTTACTAAAGCTATGTTCAATAAATGTGGGAAGTAGACAAAATACACAGGAAGGGTATACGAAACCCTTTATTTTTCTCTCTTTACAATGATTTCCGGACTTCGGAATACAGAGACCAACCACTTGTGGTCTGAACGTAAGAATATAAAAATATTAACTAAACTCTAACTTAACTTTGGAATAATAAACAAGTGCCTACTTGAAGATTGGCCGTATATTAACAGAAAGGCCGTATGTAGTACAGAGAACTGTTAACACTACAATACGTTTAAAATTATCAAGAGGATTAAACCTCTGGCCTGGAAGGCAACCAGCAACCGAGTAAAACTGCTAAGGCAAGCGGCCTGCTTCTACTAACTCCTTCCTCTCTCTTGCTTGGCAAAAAGCCACAACTTAAGTACTTGGCGTTCGCCAGACAAATTTGCATAAATAAGTTAAAGCTTTTAATTCTGGCCGGAAGTAGAAAATAAGAAGTGATAGTAAAGATTTAAAATAAAATAAACGTTAGTAAAACTTAAGATCCTTACATACTTCCCGCCAGAGTTAATTAGTTTGAAACTGAGGTCTAAAACGACCTTGTTGAAAACTTTTAGCTCTAGAATCTAACGCGAGGCCAATCTTTTACAAACATTTCTCACTAGAAACTAGAAATTTTAAAAAAAAAATTTGTTTTTACATTATCAGCTCCATGGACAATTACTTTTCATCTGTACTGCATCTAAACAGGAGCTTTTAGTTGAAATCTGGTTCCTTCCAGAGATCTGGAAGGAAAACTAGTTTAATGAAATGTTACACAATTAAATGGCAAGTAACATGAATATTAATATTTCTCCTAACATTTATTTCATTCATGACTTTATTTAATTATCTCTCCCCGTGCTCTCTGACATGTGTTGTAAAAGAAAACACCAAACACGAATGTGTTTATGTACAAGTGTTCAACACTACCGCCTGCAATCAAAACACTAACGTGTTAAAATTCAACATAACAAGACCTCAGAACACACCTTATACTTCATCTCTAAACCCTGAGGTACTATTCTGAAAGTGGCTAACTCTGAAGTGTAGCGTCAGAGAGCCTAACTACATTCATTCAACCTTTAACACATATTCACAATAATTTGCTCTTTTTACAGTCACACGAATAAGTTAAAATTTTTGGCATTACTTTCACTTTTACCATATCACAGTATTTCTTAACATTTAAAAAATAACAGTTCACATTGTATATAAGGAACATATTAACATGCCGTTAATTTTACGCATTTTAAAACATACATTAGTAGTACATTGTTAACTTCTATTCTTTTCCAAGCAAGTGCCAATTCTTCTACATTGAAATACTACATTTCAAAAGTCTTTCAGACTAAAACTTCTTTCTTGCCAGAATCTTTTAAATAAAATTTTATACAATAACTTTTACAATATTCAAGTATTTACACATTCCTATTATACATCAACTTTTAGTTTTACTCGCGAGTAATTGAAAAACATAATACCAAAATAGGTAACAACTCATTTCTCGCCTTTTTGGCGATAAAGGTAGACCTCACATGAGGTAAAACTTCTTGAAATTCTGCCACTTGCAGTAAGAATGAAAGATTAACTTAAGTTTGCAAAGTAACATAAAATTTTACTTATCTTTTTGATATTCGGACAATCTTTTCTCTGCCCAGTCCTGGAAGGTAGCGAAGATTCGTGTTTGATTTATCTTCCTTCTTGTGCGGGCTCGCCCTTCAGTTCCTTCCTCTAGGAGCTTTCTTTTCCTTCCAGTTCGGTCACCCTTGAATACCTTCTTTTTCGCCTCTGCCTGTGGTCTTGGCCGTTTGATGGCAGCTGGTCTTGGCGGAACCGGGACAACTTCTCTCTCTCGTCTTCCTGCTTGGATCTCGTTGCTGGCCGTTCAAATTTTCCTTGTATCTTTGCCTCCGCCGCTGGTGTTCCTTCCGCAATTCGTCGACATTTGCTGCGTAGAGTCCTGTCCGATGAGTAGATCTTCCGTTTTGGAGCCGGGTTATAGTTGCCGTCATTTCTCCTCCTGGCTCTCTTTGCATTCGTCGTACTTC